TATAAAACTCTTTCCCTTTCACAAACTTGTCCAAATCATTCACCACTTCCCTCTTAAGCTCTGCGTCAATTGCAAGAGTCTCAAAAGTCATGGGGTGACTAAATGTGACACCAGGCACTTTCCAATAGCCTCTACAGTCAATTGTGTGAAGCTTCACTGTCTCATTTTCTTGCTTGATAGCCTTGGCTCTCTTCATCACATATGGCAAATATGATCCAAAGATCTTTTGCTTGTGTTTCTTTGGAAAACTTAGCTCATAGAACCTTATTTCTGACCTTAGTAAGGCATTCATATCATGATGATGCCTACGAGATGATGACTCAGCCTGTATGCATAATTTTATCCACCTTATTTTAACCCCTTCAAACTCATCATTCACTTCATCTCCTCTATCTACCCCGAACGATAGATTCTTATCATTCTCAGATTTGCTTGCTTTAACTCTTTGACCTGAGAGAGTGGCTTTGGTGCCTAAATAGGCCTCTGCAGCCTCAAACACTTGGTTTCTGGACATGCCTTGAAATTCTTCAATGACAACTGTGAGTTGTGTGGAGAACTTGCGAGAAAGATTGTGAAGTCCTGAGTTAAAATATTCTATGACCTCATGAGGAATGAACTCATTAGTGATGCTTCGGATTAGCATAGCTGAGGCTGCAAGAGAGGCCACAGCAGATAAAAGTGTCTTGCTATTATTGGACATGATTTTTTTGGTTAATGGAAAATGGAGTGACACAAAAGGATACGAAATTTGTTCAAAACTATTAGCTTTTGTTTGGGCCTTGTATGAGAATGAGATGATCTCAAGATGTTGGAGTAAGATGTTGGAGTGTCCACTTTATATAGTATAAACAGGACTATTTACTCTTGACTCTTCTTTTGGGTAGTTGGAAAAGTTCACGTTGACGTGTTTACCACACATATTGATTTTTCTCATTTTGGAAATTTCAGATTCATTTTGAAAACTTTCCAAGGGAAGGGTAAAGCAAAAGTTCAATTATTTTTTATTAATCAGAATTACAATGAAGGTAACAATATTAAAACTTATGATTATATGCATAATACATACCCCTCCAATCCTTTATCACTAGGTTGGTCTAATGGTTTCAAAGCACAATTTCAATTAAACACATTAGCAAAACTTGTGGTTTGAAAATTAAGTATATGTGTGTATGTAGTACTATATAGGAGTATACATTTGGTTTAGTTTAGCCTTTGGTTTTCGTAAACAATGATCCAAAAACTGATAAATGTTGGAACACGTAACATCATGTGATTAATGATGGCTCGCACTCATTCGTCACAAAAGTAGAATCATCGAAACAAATTTTGCTTCTCAGACTTAAGATATTTAACGCGCTCTTGACTTCATTTGTTTTGATTAAATAATTATTTTCTATGTAACATCTTAAAAAAATGTGAAGAAAAAATTGTCTTATAATTTGAACTTTCCCACTCACCCCGTTTGATACATTATGCTTTTTTTACAATGGTTAGTCAAACATTTTGTGTGGATGAGGAGATGAAGATCTTATTGAATTGGTCACGTGGCAACTTTTCATTTGCTGCACGACCCTATGGGAAAATTCAAAGAAAGAAGAAGAAAGGTATGGAGAAGCATAAGTCTGGAAGACTGGAACGTATTGCTTTTAGCGGAGTTGAAAATTTGAGCCTAGATGGACTTACACCGACAGCCTATAATTTAGGTTAAGTTTGGTTTTCAAATAGAGATTAGAAAGAGGAAAAAAAAAACTGACCCTGAAATTTTAGAAGGAGCATTTGTTCATGAGAAATCGTATCTTATTATTATTTTTATTAATAGTAGAGGATTAACCTAATTGGACTGTCTTAATGACATGTTTCTAACAAAAGTATTGCAATATTAGGATTGGCTCATATATGATCAGTTGCTTCAGTTCTTCAAAGGCCTAACTGATCTTAACCATAATAAGATACAAATAGTGGAATTAAGCATTGCAAACCAATGGCGCTTTTGTCACAGAAAATTAGCCAACAATAGCATACAAATGAAGCAGATGATTCAAATATGCTGTCAATCTAAAATAACAATGACTCATAACTTGATGGGGGTGCAGTGCAACATTCAAATAGAGGCTTCACTACAAGGAGAAAATAAGCTTGTGAGAAAAATTAATGCATCAAATCTTATAGTTATGATGGGTTAGCGGCCTAACTCATCTTCTCCTTGACCACTCCTGTCTGTGCTTTCCATTTTCTGGTCCTCTGAAATGGAAAATTAGATCCTTTATCAGTTAAACTAAAGAACATGTGTATATATATATATATATATATATATATATATATATACATATATATATATATATATATATATGTTTATTTTT